TATCAGATTACTCTTTTTTTCCTCTTCTTTCTTCTTCTAGTTGAGTTTTGATCATCTAGTCATTGAAGCCAGGTCAAGTGGGTATTGTCTGCAAGTGTGGGTGTTTTTGTGCATATGCCCTCTCTTCTTATCAGCTGGATGCTTCACTCTCCACTCTAGTCCTCTGTGTCTATGTCACTGACTCTGGGCCCAGGAGTCCCTAGGTCTTGCCATACTGCTGGCCAACCAGGCAGAGCGCATGTTTGCTCGTATATTCCCACTGAGTCTTAGTCTTGGAAGGGGATTTGCCCTGAGGGGACCCGGCCACTTGCCTTGATGTCTCCTGAGTAAGCAACTTGCTTGTTTTTGTAGTAGTCAGTCAGACTACCATTATTGTTTTGTATTTTTTTGTCAGTCTTTCTTTCAAGAAGTATCTTCTGTTCTTCTAGCCTCTCCAGGCTGGTCTGCTTGTCCTTTCCGGTGGAAATTTCCCACCTCAGTTGATTCTGGATGGAGTTCAGGATTCCACCTATGGTCTTATGTAATACAGAGGCTCCGCAGGAAACCTCCTTCACTGGGCACCTTGTAGCCCCATTTTAGGTATTCCAATCAGTTATAGGTAGAAGACAAACTTGCAAGCTTTCTATGGTAATATTTCTGGCTATTCCTTTCTCTTCCCCTCAAGTGTCTATTTTATAATGGTATGCAAGGGAAACCAAGATTCAAAAGACAGCCAAGCATCTTAACATTATTTCCCCCCTTTTGCCCATTCTAACTCTGTCTCAATCCCTGTATCCCTGAGCCCTGTTGTTCCAAGGTTGTGCATACATCATTATTTACCTCTAGCCTACTTAGTCCATGCAAACCTGCCTAGTTGTTTTCCAATCCGCCTTGTTCTTCCATTCCCCTCCCCTTTCTTGTGTATTGTCTCCCTGCCCAGCACCTAAACTATCCTGTGTGTATTCCTTACCCTGTGCTTCACCTTCCCCTCCCTCCCCTTGCCCCACCTGCCACATCCTGGTAACCAGCAAGGAATCCCACCCCACCCCCCTTTAGTATGGGTTCTTTTTCTTAGCCTTTACAATAGTGGTCCTATGTAGTATTTCACCTTTTTTGATTAATTTAACTCAACATAATGTCCTCAAGGTCCACATGTTATGTGATAGCTTACAGCTTCTTTGTTATTCTTCAAGGCAGCATAATATTCCATTGTGTGTAGGTACCACAGTTTGTTTATCCATTCTTCAGTTGACAGGCACTTAGACTGTCTCCATCTTTTTGCTATTGTAAATAGTGCT